CTGTTCTTTTGTACACTACTGTGAAGTGTGGCAGCTTGGATTGGTGTACTTGTGCGTGGGGTTCTACGTTGATTTTATCTGTCCCTGTCGTTGTGCCATAGGGCACAGCCCGGAAAGCCTGCACCTGGCTCTTTTGAAGCATGGGGGCGAGATTGTAGTTAGGAGACTTACTACATTGTTTGAGAAGTCATGGCAAATTGATAGTGTTCCATTGTTCTCGAATAAAGCCATTGTTAAACCCGTCTACATATTGCATGTCATAATCAACAAGGTATCAGTCTGGTAGTTTTTACTGTCAGCTCCTATCATACTTCGCAGGCTCCGCAAAACGCTTGAGAAACTGATTCGCGAGGAGCAGGTAGGGTTTTCTTAAGGTAATGAATATATTAATCACGTTTTTATACTTCGTCAGATACTCACACACCATCATACGTATTGCAGGTGAACGACTGCCGTGTTTCTTCATACTACGGCTGTCTTCGACCACTTTGTAAAAGTTGCGCTTTGAGACTGCTTGATAGGAAGGAGTGTACATGATAAGTTAGTTGACATTCAGAAAGCCCTATACTTCAACGTCTCAAGTAGGGAGAAGGCTCACAGCCATCCAGCTCCATTCTTCGAATCTAATAGTAGGGTTCTAGTTCTTCTTTAACATTTCCATCGATGACAATCTCGAGTTAGTCCTGAAGGAATTGTGTGGTGGTGATGGTGATGTACACCTGTTACCAAGTGAGACTTTTTGACCTCGGGTATGCAGAAGATACTGTTATAGTGTTCAACAAAGTGCAGAATACTCCAATCGCACTCAACCAGTTGATTAGTGTCCATAAGTACGTACTCACTTTGCACCGCAGAAGTTCAAAGTGTTCCTACAAGACTGACAGGAGCCTGTATCTGCATTCGCCCTTGATATTGAGTTGCTGGAAGTTGTCGAAAAGTTTGTGTACCTAGGTGGTCGTGTTAATCCTAGTCTAGATATGACCCATGAGATTTTCCACCGTAAACAGAAAGTCAGAGCAGTATATGTCAATGTGGGCCATCTCTGACGCCATCGTAATGGTAACCTTAAGGTGGAAGGTTGGATGTGCAATGCGTAGGTGTGGGCAGTTCGCCTGGATGTTTGTGAAACCTGGCCTCTTCGAGCTGAGGTTGTCCGACGATTCTGCATGTTTGATTACCATTGCCTTCACAGAATTGCTCGCATCTAATGCAAACACCATATATTTAATCCTAGTGTGAAGCGGCATGTGCTTGAGCGTGGTAGAGACCGTCATTCAATGGATATGACCGACTTGAAACACTGGCCTCAGTGGCCCAGAAGTGTGTTAAACAGGCCGTCCGGATAGCTCCCACGCCGCTCGCTGAGATTGTCCCGCGACTAGTTTGAAGGAGCGGAGACGAGGTCAGTGTGGTGCTCCGGGATTAAGAATGGTTGCCTTAAGTGTTTTTAGCTGCCTCACGACTCCCTGGATGCAGTCCGTGAGATTATGCACCTCAGTTATCCGAGATGATATCAAATACGACTCTGAATTGAAACCAGTGGTGATTGTGCTGCCACGTTTTTGTTCCTGAAAAGTAGGGCGAAAGTAATGAGTGTTCATTTGAACGCCCCTCTGAGACTACTTCTTTAATAACCCATTTCCAGTGGAAGGTTCTGTGTTGATTTTGTCTACCTTTTATTTTCTAAATTTAACAAGTTGCTCTATTATTTTGTATGGCGCATATTTGATGCCCTAGATGTACCAGTTGTTTGTTCTAGTAATAACAATAATGGCAGCATTAGTAATCATAATAATTTTATTCATAGTCTAACATAGCAACAAGTTTTTCAATACACAGACAAATGCTTCATTGAGGATAAGAATTATTACAAGTGCCCGACGTATGACCTGTTCCAAAAGCTGACAGCGGGTAAAGACCTAATAAATTTACTCTCATTCAGCCGTACAATTTGTCGAGTTATCCAGGTTTTGTTGCCACAGAATTCCGGAGAATTGGATATCAGGAATCCATAGTCAACTTTACGGGTTAGTGTCATGTATTAATAATAGCATCTGATAAGTTGTATTTTAGTTGTTGTCAAAAACCATCTAGGTAACAATACAAAGGAGAATTTTCAGTCGTTGACTGTTTAACATAAGTTGAGTTAGCTCCGCATTGGTCAAGACGTATAGGTGATGAGAGTTCAAGTTCTTAAAGATGATAGACAAGTCAACTGTTTTTAAATGAAAGGCTTTCAATTAAGGAATTCAAGATGAAAAAGTATATTCCAACCTAAAAGACATAAACACTTAGACAACAAATGTCTTCAGTCGGTCAATATCAATATGGGGATGTGACAATATTCATAATGATCTCAGTTGCTACACCAATCAGAATTTCAGATTCAAAAGATGATAAAGTGCTCAATGAACCAGCACACTCAAAATACGATAAAAACGAGTTCTTGGGAGTTGATATTTAAAATCCATAATTCTGAATACAAAGTGTTGGATATAAATGACACTTCAACATAGTACAGACTTCTCTCTCAATATGAAAACGTTGCATATTATTGTGCATACCTTAGGACCACTGTATTAAAGTCCAAGGAAACACTGACTACTTCCATTGAAAATCAAAGCATAACACTAAATCCAAACCAATGCAAAAACGATCGATATTCAGACATAGAGTGTGCACATGTTCCCTTGAAAGACACACAATAATAGAACACAACGCCATGAAAGCTGACAGAATCACATCGGAAAGCTGATTAATTATCGCTACGTGGATCAAAAATAGATACGCAAATCATTAGAAACATCCACCATCAAGAGATGCCATGAACGGCAACCAGCTATGCAGAAGAGTCGACTTGCTAGGGGCTTGCCAACGATGCTAGTTGCCATTACATGCCGGCGAACACATTTCCTGGCTGCTTGGACTCAAAAGCACACAGCTTGGTGCGCTTTTTCATGCTGGCGCCACAGCGTCTGTGACACCAACAGGTTTCAGGTTGTTAGTTCATCGGTTGTGATTCAATGCAGCAATGTTTTGTGGCAAACCGCGAACGTCAGCGAGAAACATGGCACCATGACAACAGATGCCTTTTCATCTCTTTGTGAATACCGTATACCTCTTCCTATAATTTAGTAACACCAGCAATAGAGCCGAAGTTTGAAGAACTGCTCGAAGGGCATAGATCTGCGTTAGGGCTGGTACTGATGGTCGTACCGATAGCTACTGCCATTCCGAGTCGTGGTAGCGTTTCTTCCACCGCCTTGTCCACAGCCTCATCCAGTTCAACTAGTGGGGACTGATGGAAGGATGCGAAGATGTCTTGAACCGATAGCAAAGGGAGTTGGGAACACATCTGTTTTAGAAAGGTATCGTCGACTTCGAAATCAGAAACATCTAGCACGGCATTTGCGCAGGCTTAAGATCGTCCAGGTGTACATCGCGAAAGTGTTCCTGCACCTTCTGCTGGCCGGTCAGAGTAAGACGTCTAACGTGGGTCTTTTGGAGACGGTCATAGAGGTTTGGAGCAGTGTCATCAAGCACATCAGAAACCTCCTCCATAATGTTCTTCGGGAAGCTGATAATTACCAAGCTAGACCTGACCTCTTGTTGGGTGATTCGCCTAGGGGCAACTAGGCAGTAATGGTCATTTTGATCGCAAAGCTTTGAGCTTCATTTATGCTTGGAGGTATAAGATAAAAAGTTAGCCGATATGATCGGAGACAGTAGGCAAAGTATAACAACAGGGACCCAAGCGACAAAAAATTAAATGTACAAGATGCTGCTAGATACTGGCCTTAAAATATAAATACGTATGAAAAACGACCTGGACGGCCAATAATAAGATGATGCTCCGGCTCATCAATTGCATTAGACTGGTTGCGTTACTACTGACTAACACTTGATCAGTCCTACGTAAACAAATATGCACCAGTACCAAACTAATCAGTACCCTACCTACGTGTAAATATTGGTAACGAAAGACATCGACAAACATGTAACATGGTAAAAAGTGCTCAGACAGACAGCCTATTTGTAAGTCAGTGGTAAAGAGGTTACGATAAGGGAAAAAATGTTAACCTAGCTTTCGATTATTAGCTAAGCTATTGACTCTAAGCTAGTTGCTGCCAATCAGCACGAACATGATGCAAAATGGCGAATGTTGGTGGGGCGATTCCTACAAACTAAGACATACTCAGAGAACCGGGGTCACTCGTTGACGCCATACAAGCCTAACTAGCTATTATTAAGATTTTAAACGTGTCTATTTACCTTAAGCCTAGCATTATTTTGGTGCCAAGAACCCGTACTACAGACCTAGAGCCTTTTCGTAAGACATGCAATCTATAACGAAGAAACTAGGTGGTTTGTGCTAAGTGCTATTAGCAAGGCTGAACCGTTTTGCCTTTTCTCATTGCAATTAACCGTTTCAATATATATTAACTTACAGGCATACATACTATTGGTTGAGGAGAAAGGGTCGCATCAAGACTAGATTGTGGGACGGGTGTACAGAATTCAGACATGCTTGAAGTGACTAACCAGAAGCAGGTGGATTATCCACTGTCTGCACAGATATAGGTTTTAAAGTGTTTAATATTTTTTTCTGAAAGCAAAAATATGAGGTATTCGCACGGACTTTAGTTTTTACAGTAAGAAATAAGTATTATTCTACTACCTTGAAGTGCGTTTACAAATACTTGTCACGGTTTATAGACTAAAGTTTAGGAACTGAACTATGCGTCAAGGTTTAGTTGCTAAGGATAACGTTCAACTGCTCAACTTTTAACACTAACTCATAATCTAGAAGTCAACCATTGAAGTCCTTTTCAGTACTGGTGCTGGTATAGTTTTTCTAGAAGCCAATTCGGTACGGGTTTTTACACGCCGTCTAGCATTGAGGCTGCGACTACAACTTTAAAAAATTACACGCTAGCACTTAATCGCAAGTAAAATAACTCTAATAAGCCATAAAATTTTATTTCGTGAGAGAAACCAACCTATCTAAAATTGATCTTTCAAGTGCTGAAACTGAAATGAAAACCCGATTCAACTTCATGAATTACAATTAGCCAATCACAGCTAATATCTTTTACAGTAACACCTGAAGCATAAAGGGACTTGGAAGTCTGTTCCTAATTCTGACGAATTCCGAACTACTTTATTGGAAATGAAGACTAATGCAACAATAAATACCTTTTCTCATCAAAACTTTAATGGTCAGTCACTTGATTTCAATTAATCTTCACAAAGAAAACAGGGTTCTTCAGTACCACGCCTGCTTTCTTCGACTAACAGCAAGGGGATATCTGACCTCACCGTCATATACTTGGCAAGGTTAACCCGAAATCCAATACTTCAAACTTCATGCTGTAGAATTAGTGAACTGCGGTTCCTTGGGTTCCACGTCTGTCTTATTGAAATACGTTCTGAGTTTGGAATGGCCACAATTAGCTTCCCGGTTCTGAAAAACCTGGAAGGATAGGGATATGACCAATTAGTTAATCTGGTCTCAAGGTAGTATTACTGCATCTGATCTGGGGAAAGCTTCTCGAGTATAGCCCAACGGTACCATAGGACTCGAGGTATGTGTCTAGCCTTCTTTTAAAAGTATCAGGGGATGGGGCTGTAAAAACTGCTGAAGAGAGGGAATTCCACAGTTTACAGACTCTAACTGCAAATAAGTTAGCACGGATCTTTGTACGTGCTCTCTCATGCTCTATTCTTAACGGGTGACCCCTCAGGTCGCCTTTCTGACTAAAGCTTAGAAGGGATCTGTTGAGGTGGAAGGGATTATGGGCGATGTGATACATCATGATCATATCCCCTCTGATCCTCCGGTATTGTACTGGGTGCAGCTGAAGAGCAACTAAGCAGTCTGGGTACGGTTTGTGCCGTAACCCAATCACTTTCTTTGCAGCTCTTCTCTGTATCCGTTCTAGGATGGCAATGTCCCTTTTCAAGTATGGGGACATCACAAGCGAATTTTTTTCTAGATGAGGGCGAATGTACACAGTATACACTGTGGTGAAAAGAGAAGGAGTTAGACACCCTAAAGTTCGTGAGAGAAACCCCAGGGTTGCATAAGCCCTATTGGCTGCAAGGCAACAGTGGACTGAGGCCCCTAGTGTATCGTTTGGTGTAAGTGCCAGATCTTGTTCCATGTTAGAGTGACAGATGTTTATTTCATCCAGAGAGTAAGAACTGGGATTGCCTCTATGTTTGTCAACCGTCATGCTTTGACACTTCTTCGAGTTGGGAGGAAGCAGGTTTTCTGAAGTCCAATTAAGGATTTTCGTAAGGTCCTCCTAGAAGACCGAAATATCCGTTGGCTCCTGTATTTCCCTCCAAATCTTCAGATCATCGGCCCAGCATAGAACCTTGAGGCACACCACTCAGCATTGCGAAACGATTAGATAGGGAGGAGCCAACTCTATCTGACTGCACTCTGGTGTACAGATAATCTGTCAGGCAAATTAATAATTTTCAGTGTTCACCCATGAGCTGAAGTCTCTTGCAAAGGATATCATGATTCAAAGGCTTTGGAAAAGTCAGGTAAACCAATGTGAATAGGTTTTTTCTACTCGACAGAGAATGTCCAGCTATTCCAAGCTATAAACAAGTTGGTGTTACATGACCTTCCTGGTAGAAAGCCAAGTCGTTTAGGATTGATTTCTTAAGTAAGTGATCACGAAGTGAGTCATTTATGACTCTCTCCATGGCCTCCGCGACTGAAGAGATCAGGGAGATTGGTCTGTGGTTGGAGACTAGTAGTTTGTTTCCACCTTTATAAATTGGGACGACAGCCGCCCGTTTCCAATCAGAGGGTAACCTGCTTTCCAGAAACGAGCATTTGAAGGGGTTTGCTACTGGGGCGCACAGAACTTCAGCACACTCCTTGGGTGTTCTTGGGTGAATCCCATTAATTCCTGGAGACTTATTCGGGTTCAGTTTCTTTAATATTTCTATAATTACGGAGGGTTTAAACTCTATATGGTTTAGCTCCTCTGAAATACGGGTGTCCGACAGATGCGTAGTTTTGCCTACCAAACGACAGAAGTTGTTTTGGAATTCATGAGCTAGTAAGTTTGCAACTTCGGAGTTGGAGTAGAGAGTCTCCAAACTAATGGGGTCCCGTAAACCAAGTGAACCGTTACCCTTCTGTTTCATCAGCCAGTACGGTATCCCATGATTCTCCTCCAGGATCCTACAAAGTTGTCTGGTGGTTTACTCTTTCATTTCTGATCCTTATTGTACGTTTTCCACGGATATCTTCATAATTTAGCCAGTCAAAAGGGCTATTAGTGCATCCCCATAGATTTCAAGGTGGCCGTTTACGCCGCATTAGTTCGCGTGTGCTTGACTTAAGCCAGGAGGGGCAGATTTTGTTAGTTCTTCTTGGAATCAGAAGAGTGTTCTCTTCTATCTTCTAGAGGATTATATTCTTCAACAGATCCCATCTGGCATCGAGGTCCAGTAGGTCATCGCAATTTAAGCAGGAGGAACCTTCTAGAGCTTGCCAGACCTTCTCAGATTCAGTTCCCTTGTAATCCTGACTGGTGGCTGATCGGGAACGGGGGCTTAGATACAGAAAAAGTTGAAGGAGATAACTGCATGGTCACTCGGGCCAGTGGGGCTGAAAACATTCAAGCTGGTTACCTCGGTGTACTGATTTGTGAAAATATAATCTAGCCGGGGTGCCTCACCGTCAAACCCCCAGCGAGTACACTGGGAAACATGTTCCGTAAAGGAGTTTTCCAGTCACAATTCCCGAAAGTCTTTTAGAGCAGCAGATGGACTTTCTGTGGTAAAGAATTGAGGAAAGTTAAAATCTCCCATAATGAGGACCTGTGGGAAGTTCGGTTCCAGGGCTTCTCTAATGGACTGCATTAACATTCTGTTTAGCGTGGCATCAGCTGCAGAAAGGCTGTACAAAGCCCCAACTAAACATGAACCTGCGTAGCACCTAATACTACACCACAGGACGTCTTTAATACCAATTCTATGAGACGGAATATCATGGACTTTTAAGGGAGTGCAGGTGTAAAGGGAAACGCCACCTCCTGGACCCTCCGGTCTACCCCTTATGAATGGGCGGAGCCGTCCTCAACGAACTTCCTCATCTTTCATGTTCACCGGCAGCCATGTTTCACAGGACGCTATTACGCTAATAGCACTTAGCACAAACCACCTAGTTTCTTCGTTATAGATTGCATGTCTTACGAAAAGGCTCTAGGTCTGTAGTACGGGTTCTTGGCACCAAAATAATGCTAGGCTTAAGGTAAATAGACACGTTTAAAATCTTAATAATAGCTAGTTAGGCTTGTATGGCGTCAACGAGTGACCCCGGTTCTCTGAGTATGTCTTAGTTTGTAGGAATCGCCCCACCAACATTCGCCATTTTGCATCATGTTCGTGCTGATTGGCAGCAACTAGCTTAGAGTCAATAGCTTAGCTAATAATCGAAAGCTAGGTTAACATTTTTTCCCTTATCGTAACCTCTTTACCACTGACTTACAAATAGGCTGTCTGTCTGAGCACTTTTTACCATGTTACATGTTTGTCGATGTCTTTCGTTACCAATATTTACACGTAGGTAGGGTACTGATTAGTTTGGTACTGGTGCATATTTGTTTACGTAGGACTGATCAAGTGTTAGTCAGTAGTAACGCAACCAGTCTAATGCAATTGATGAGCCGGAGCATCATCTTATTATTGGCCGTCCAGGTCGTTTTTCATACGTATTTATATTTTAAGGCCAGTATCTAGCAGCATCTTGTACATTTAATTTTTTGTCGCTTGGGTCCCTGTTGTTATACTTTGCCTACTGTCTCCGATCATATCGGCTAACTTTTTATCTTATACCTCCAAGCATAAATGAAGCTCAAAGCTTTGCGATCAAAATGACCATTACTGCCTAGTTGCCCCTAGGCGAATCACCCAACAAGAGGTCAGGTCTAGCTTGGTAATTATCAGCTTCCCGAAGAACATTATGGAGGAGGTTTCTGATGTGCTTGATGACACTGCTCCAAACCTCTATGACCGTCTCCAAAAGACCCACGTTAGACGTCTTACTCTGACCGGCCAGCAGAAGGTGCAGGAACACTTTCGCGATGTACACCTGGACGATCTTAAGCCTGCGCAAATGCCGTGCTAGATGTTTCTGATTTCGAAGTCGACGATACCTTTCTAAAACAGATGTGTTCCCAACTCCCTTTGCTATCGGTTCAAGACATCTTCGCATCCTTCCATCAGTCCCCACTAGTTGAACTGGATGAGGCTGTGGACAAGGCGGTGGAAGAAACGCTACCACGACTCGGAATGGCAGTAGCTATCGGTACGACCATCAGTACCAGCCCTAACGCAGATCTATGCCCTTCGAGCAGTTCTTCAAACTTCGGCTCTATTGCTGGTGTTACTAAATTATAGGAAGAGGTATACGGTATTCACAAAGAGATGAAAAGGCATCTGTTGTCATGGTGCCATGTTTCTCGCTGACGTTCGCGGTTTGCCACAAAACATTGCTGCATTGAATCACAACCGATGAACTAACAACCTGAAACCTGTTGGTGTCACAGACGCTGTGGCGCCAGCATGAAAAAGCGCACCAAGCTGTGTGCTTTTGAGTCCAAGCAGCCAGGAAATGTGTTCGCCGGCATGTAATGGCAACTAGCATCGTTGGCAAGCCCCTAGCAAGTCGACTCTTCTGCATAGCTGGTTGCCGTTCATGGCATCTCTTGATGGTGGATGTTTCTAATGATTTGCGTATCTATTTTTGATCCACGTAGCGATAATTAATCAGCTTTCCGATGTGATTCTGTCAGCTTTCATGGCGTTGTGTTCTATTATTGTGTGTCTTTCAAGGGAACATGTGCACACTCTATGTCTGAATATCGATCGTTTTTGCATTGGTTTGGATTTAGTGTTATGCTTTGATTTTCAATGGAAGTAGTCAGTGTTTCCTTGGACTTTAATACAGTGGTCCTAAGGTATGCACAATAATATGCAACGTTTTCATATTGAGAGAGAAGTCTGTACTATGTTGAAGTGTCATTTATATCCAACACTTTGTATTCAGAATTATGGATTTTAAATATCAACTCCCAAGAACTCGTTTTTATCGTATTTTGAGTGTGCTGGTTCATTGAGCACTTTATCATCTTTTGAATCTGAAATTCTGATTGGTGTAGCAACTGAGATCATTATGAATATTGTCACATCCCCATATTGATATTGACCGACTGAAGACATTTGTTGTCTAAGTGTTTATGTCTTTTAGGTTGGAATATACTTTTTCATCTTGAATTCCTTAATTGAAAGCCTTTCATTTAAAAACAGTTGACTTGTCTATCAT